CTGGCATCCCGCATAGTCACATCAAAATTTTCATCAGACCATGAAACGTTTGTGCAAATTTTTCATCTTTCTTGCAGTCTTGAAAACAAAATTTATATGCAGGTATGTAGAAAAAATATCAGAGTTCAATGTGGTATAATTTATTATCATGTTTTATTTACGTATACGAAGTATTTTGCGTTCTGCCGAAGTGGTATATTCGTCAGTTGAGATATAGTTGCCAACCTTAGGTATAATCTATATATATCAACACTGCTTTTCAAATTGAGTGCTTGCGGCGCGCGACAAATGACAAAGGAATGGGGCGAGCTTAATGCAAATTGACATTTGGAAGCATTATTGGTGCATTCTACACGCCGTTTTGGGCTGCCTATGACATTTCTTGATTTGATGATTGATAAATTTCTTGCAAATACATTTCATTTTTGCTCACATTTTGGCAAGATTTTGTAAATTTCAAAAGCTTTCTCAGAAAGAAAGGGCGAAAGAATCGGCTAAAAGAAGGGAGCCGACGTTAACGAAGGTAAGTGTGTTTTAAATATTGATTTTATACTGGCTTTATTAAAACCTGACGGCTTTTGTGTATATGAAACAACTATTACAAGATAGTATATAATTTCAGTGTGTCTTTAATATGGATTCCCTTTTTTATTATGTTGAATTTTTTAAATAAAAAAGAAAGCAAAGGTATTTCCAAGCGAGAATTTGCAATCATTTTATTGCAAACTCAAAGTTTATCGATAAAGCCATTAATAATTACTAAAGGCAGTTTAGTTTTATAAAGCCGGAACGCTTTAATTAAAACGTTTTGCGAAGCGTTTATGGTTGAATTTTACCTTAAATTGAAGCTTATATTACGTATTATAACATACCTAACATATATATGTTGGGAAATTGATAATTTTGTAATTAAAAGTGATATTTTTAGGCGATTTTTCATTTGTAAGAATATTCTTAAAAAATCGTCGTGTTACCATGGCAACTACTTTAGATACTTCATTTTCGGAAAATACAATGGTTTTGTCAGCAAGGCGAGGGTTTCTGCATGCATGTATTTTGTAGTTATTGTCTTATTTAAATCGATACCAGCAGCGGTATTTGGGGTGTCATTTACGAGCCTGTATCTTCAAATTTGATAAAAGTATCACGCTATTTCCATTTTTTGTCCGATTGTCAGTTTAATCCCAAACGGAAATAAATCTCAAAACGTCAAAACAATGCGACGTTGGTATCGTATGACTCTGCTAAGTTCAGAAATGGATTCTACAGGTCAAATTGCACCTATACGCGTGAGTTTGAAGTCATCCCGGCTAAAGGAGCTTTTTATTGGCCAAGTATTATGCAATACACACGCGTGCGGGTAAAACCCGATATCTAGCTTGAAAAATTCAAAATAAATATTTTTACGCGCCGTATCCAAACAATATTTTTTAAGAGCAATATTTTATTATTTCATATTATTTTATATATTTCATAATTATTTAATTTTGCCCAAAATAGCTAATTACATTAATTTTCGATTATAATTACATTACAGGGCTAGGAGACTACCAGAAACCTCTACAGGCTTTTATTTTAGTCCCCTACTAGGTTAAATTAATACTAATAGATTATAAAATAAAGTTTTTGACAGTGAGTCGAAACTTAGAACAAAACAAATTATGAATATAGCACTATTTACAGTGCTAAAAAGTTGACTCTTTTCTACGGCGAAAGCGCTTGAATACAAGGAGTATTTTACACATATAGCCGATCAGAAAGTAACGAAAAGTTTAGAAGATATTCAGCTTTTTCTCAATATGAAATACAGAATGTTTGGCCAAGCAGTGAGTAAATATATGATCGCTTCGGTTTGTGTTATGATTTGACGGCATCTGACCCCCCCTTCGAAAGGTTATTTGGTGAGGCTTTCAATGGTGGATTTCGTTTAAAAGGGGGGTAAATACTCGCCGAGATATTTAAATTAGAAACATTGAATGTATATTGCAATGCGATACCGGCTGTCATTTAGGATTTTAATATTTAACTCACATTTGAAGCAGAACAGCATCTGATATACGAATGGTTACCACAGCCAACAAAACAATGTGACAAATATGAGCGGCATTCTCCGACAAATTGATACAATATGATAATTTATGTTGAAACGTTTTGTGTACATATATGTTCACAGCTTATATTCTTTTAGTACACTTTGTTAAAACTTTGAGAACAAACAGTAAAACAAAACATATATATTTTAATTAATTAAGCAAGAAAACCGTAATCGCCAGCGCTAATTGTAGTCAGCAACATAACGTTGTCGTTATTGCGCATGCGATAAATCTCCAAGAATCGTGGAGATTTCAGCGTATTTTACCAGGATCTTCCTCAGCTCGCGCGCCATCACAAAGACGACCCTGGGGACGAGGTTTTCAACATATATGTTATGTCACAGAATAAAGACATACAGAAGTGTATCTTCTTATTAAAAGTGCGTAAGGGATTTTTTCAGTCCGCCATGTTCTTAGCAAGTGCCCTAAAGAGAGGCAGTCACCCCCCTGAAAACATATTGAAATTTTAATATTCCAGGGGGGTGAATGCCTCTCTTTAGGGCACTTGCTAAGAACATTGCCGCCAGCTATTTCGGTAAAAAGCGCCTTACGGTTTTGTAATGGAAGTTACACTTCTGTATGTCTTTATTCTGTGGTTATGTCGAGTGCGATGCCCAAACCCTGATTTGAATAATTATTTACCGAAGCGGGGTGAATAGTGCAAGGATATTACCGAAACGCTAAGCATTGGGGTGAAAATCCTTGCACGATTCACTGACACTGAGATGAATAATTGTTTTAGCATATATATACCACAACAAAACAAAAATGTTCAAAACGGAACGATGAATAAAACAATTTCAACTTCAACTCCCTCAATAGTGCAGCACGTTGTGTAAACAAACCAGTATTTGCACGCATTTAGCAATTTTATTTATTAGAAATAGTTTTATAGGATACCTCTACGCACTGTTAAACAAAACTTTGTGGCTTTTTTCGCGTTTGGCGAAACCACAACTCCGTATAGTATAAAATTCTGCTTGCCTGTAATCGGAACAATACGCGGGAAGCAATTTTGTTTTTGTATAGTGCAAGAATATCCGTAGTTGCGCAACCAATCAAATTTCTTGAAAACCACTATCCACATGCCGAGTATACAGCTATTTCAGTTAAGGTTGTCTCCCGAGCAAAGCGGAACAGTCGAATACAAGCGCGAAAGGCTGCTGCGGATCGCAAATAAATTAATGAATTTGTTAGCGATTCCCAGCAGCCTTTCGCGCTCGTTTCGACTTTCCGCTTTGCTTGGGGGACAACTTTAATTGAAATAGCTGTATGCTAAGTTACCAATCTACCTCACATTGGCATTAACATAAACATGCGGTTAAAGTTTGCCAACTGAACACCGTAGCTCAGTTGTTGTTAGAGGACCGATGAATCAATTTCGAAAAAAAAAACATTGGAAACGGTACGGATTTTGCATTTTAATACACTTAGCCTACTATCAATATACCGGGTGTCCCAAAAAAAAGTACTCCGGTTTGATTCGTAATAACTTCAAAACAAGTAAAGCTTTTAAAGAGAAATGACTTGCATCAAATAGAGGAAGGACTAACTTAGATTTTGGTATTTTACAGTTGTATTTCACTTAAAAATTCACGGAGATATTAATGTTTAAAATCGGGAGCACATTTTTGGATGTGTCTGAAATATGCAAAAAAGCGGCGTATCAAATATTAATCAAAATTTGCCTGATTGAAACATGCACTGTTACCCGCATTAAATGAATGACACTTAACAAATTGTTTATTATGAAACAAAGTTATTATTATCTACAAAATACAAGCAAGATTTATTCGTCCGAAATCCGCGTGTGTTCCTTAGACGAATACGTTTCCTAATTTCATGAGACCACTGAATCGCGAATTAAGGATCGTCTTGGATATCGTTCGTAGTTCTGAATTAGGGCATGCTGTCACAATGGAATTGTGAAGCTTTTCTAACTTCTGCAACGTTCTGAAATCTTGTTAAGAACACTCAAACTCTTTTGCTTTTTCTTAATCTTGTTAAGTTCAGAATAAACTGAGAATGAAACACAATCTAACCATACAACTTCATAAGACATAACAAGCAACTCCCCAGAGACATCCAACATTTTTGGAACAAAACGTAACAAAATAGTAGCGTTGATACTTTGATGTGTATTTGCAAAAAGCAATATTATTTCCTTCATTATAAAGAAATCATCCTGCTCTAACCGAGAAATAATCAACACTGTTTTGAACCCATGAAAAACATAAAAAAAATTTAGGCTATTTAACAAAAATTTAAGCGCCTGCATTGCATATATGGTTTTTCATGTACCTTTTACTTTGTAAAGACCTATTAAATACTTGCATAATTTTGAACGTTCAATATTTCAGGAAACAATCAGCTAAGACTTACATGCATGTTAAAATGTCTAAATCTGCGCCATATCCCTTACAAACTCTAACGACAATTCACTGAAATACAAGTTAGCCTGATATGCCATTAAGCAAACAAACGCTGGAGTTAATATTTGATATGCCGATTTTCGCTAATTTTAGACACATCCCAAAATATGCTCCCGATTTTGAACATTAATATCTCCGTGAATGTTTAAGTAAAATACAACTGTAATATATCAAAATCTAAGTTAGACCTTCCTCTATTTAATGCATTAAGTTATTTCTGTTTGATAGCTTTACTTGTTTAGACGTTATTATAAATCAAACCGGAGTACTTTTTTTTGGGACACCCGGTAGTGTTATTGAAAATCAATATTGAGCTTGAAAGAAATTGCAGGACGTTCAAGGACCTACATGCACTATCTTTCAAGGACTTTCTAGGCCTGGATTTGTGGCATAAATCGGAATAATGAATCATCATTGGTCATACTTTGGTCAAAATCTTTTCAAAACAATGAAAATTATCTGCTTGGTTTTCTTACAGGAGTACCGTAAACGAATTCTACAAAAAATTATTCGTGATTACCTGGATAATCAAACTAAGGAAGGATTGCAGGGAGAGGCAGAATGAGCAGTTTTTGAAGAATATTTAAAAATAAAGGTACATGTGGATAGAATGCAAAAATTGTTTTCCAACTTTGTATTGTCGGAAGGGTCCCTGTAAAAAACGGAAACCGAAAAGACCGAATCCGGAAACGACCCAAACCGGAAACGACCCAAACCGGTAATTCCCGCCTAATTTCCCGCATAAAATTGCATAAAATTTAGCCTGCGAGCAGGCTCACTGGGAGAAAGGTGAGCCTCCACGGAACCATGCGTTTTATTCATTCATCCCCTTTTCGCATCTGCTAAACGCGAACCAATTAGAGTCGACCGGGATAATAAACAAAGACTGTCAACTGTCAAATCGACGCAGGGCGTGAAATGTACAACGAAGAAATGTAAAAAACAAGTGTAACTCCAAAGATCGATAACATTTTTATATTTATCAACGTTTCGACTATATTTCAGTCATCATCAGGATAAAGAAATATATATAACAATAATACGAAGCGTTAGCAAGCCGCTCAATATATTAAATATGGGCTCCAGATAATACATTACGAGTTAATCAATACACATACAAATTAAAAGCCGAATAAAATACTACCATTGAATGCAATAATACTTGTACTACTTGTGATTGAAATAACAAAGTTCTGAATATTTGAAGCTGTTAACTAAAATGCCGTCAGATAGATTGGGATTTGGAATACGTCTGAATGAGCATGCATTTAATTTTTTCGAAATAACGAGCGTGCCATTATAGTGGAAGCCGTATCGTATGTCAAATGAGAAAGTGAATGCAATATCGTTTTTATTAAACAAAACCAGTATTGTTCAGGAAGTTAATAATATGCAGTAAGATTATTAAATAATTTACAAAATTGTCAGCAGTTAAATATTATACAAGTAATACAACCTGACGAATTACGACATTCGGACGATATTTATCTAAATGATATGCCAGCGATCGAGCATCAACAAGAAAATTTATATTCGTTATGCGGGAAATTAGGCGGGAATTTCCGGTTTCGGTCGTTTCCGGATTCGGTCGTTTCGGTCTCCGTTCTTTACAGAGACCCTTGTCGGAACTAATTTATTAGTCTTAGTGCGTGGTTACCCTGTTAGTACATAGCATTCATGACATATACAGGGTGTTTATAGTCTTTGATTCAAATGCCCGTTTTAAGTTAAGTTCAATGCACGAAACTTCACTAGCGTTCCTAAATTTTATCAGAGAATACAAAGGTTTCGTGATTGGGTCACTTACCTAAACCATGTTTCCAGGGTGACCAAGTTTATGATGGCGTGTCAAGCCATATTTGTATTTTTTTCTTCTCAGCAACTGTTGGTTTGATGTTATTTCAACTTTTTAGGGCTGAAGCATATTTTTGTAAGCTGCAAAACATTTGGGATACTTTTACCATTTATGACGTCATCAATCAAAGATGGCGGAATTCAAGCTGGCGGGATCATGACGTCACTAGATGACGTAATGTAGTTAAGAATCCAGGCATTTAGCTTTAAAAGTGAAGAGTAGGTACAGAATATTTCAAGTTATCAATTGATGAAATAATTTTCCGAATAAAAATTCGCCAGATCTCATATCTGCATATGTAATGATAATCACAAACGTTTTCGACAAATCTTCGTTTTTATACGTTTTAATTACTATAGCTACGTTGTTCTGCTTCGATATCTAAATAGATTAGAAATTGCAAAACTATTGTTTTACCAATATACATTAGAAATATTTCTTCATATTACAGAAATTCGAGTATTTGGCTAATGATGACGTCGTGATGACGTCGCCACGTGTTGCCATGATAACGGAAGTTGTAAGTGAGCTTCTACTTGCACGAGCATCATTCTCTGAAAGTTTCATTGTGATACCTTATATAGTTTTTGAGATATTAACTTAACTTATTTAGTACTAATACGATAGTTTAATTAATAAGTAACTAGATTTTTTGTCCATAAATACCTTAATTAATTCATTCATTTTGTAAATTTGTATGTTCCATGTAACTGCATGTCATATGTGTAATTGTTTTTGTTGAAGCAGAACTCCATTTAAACCTGTCAATGGCTGAATTGGACGATCCTGATTAAATATTGTTATCATCAAATATAAATAAGTATTGTTATCTTCAACTCTCATTACTTGGCCTACCATTGTTAAAAGAGTTGAGTTGTTAATAAAGAGTTGAGTCGATTTCTCTGTAGTCAATAGCGATAGGTCGATAGTTTTTCCGATGATGACGTTGGTCGAGCAATTTGCATCCCACCTATTTACAGCAAAATTTCGATAATAAAACACTTTTTATTGTAAAAATTTAAGCTCTTCTAAACCTTTTTCAACTCTAAAAAGTTTGAATAGAATTATAAAATATATCCAAGGTGTTTTGTATCTATTTTTGCAGGAAAGTAGTGTCTTTGTGTTGTTTGAGTGTGTAAACATCGGAATCTGCATGTAATGAGATATACAATAAACCGCTTGATAGCAAAGTCAGACGAACTTTATACGTATTTTTAAGCATTTAAGCTGGCCCAGTAGTTTACTAGAAAATGGAAGATCTTCGATTTAGACCCAATTTTTCACCAATTCCCATATGTTTAAAAGACGGAGAGTCCTATTAGAAAAATAATAACTACAGAGTTAGATTTTTTCGAAAAAAGAAATTGCAACTCCCGTTTCTATGGCAACAATGACGCTTCAATATGGCCGGTGATATTTTGGATTTAAAGTTATTTAACTTAAGAACAAGGTCGGTTACTCCATTTTTTATTTCATAAAAAGAATTATTTTAGTATATTGAATCATTGTTGTGATTTTTAAAAAATTCTGTCCCGCGAAAAGATTGTTATCAATTGTAAAATCGCGAAAATGATTCAACATACTGAAAGAAATCATGCTACTAAAAATACATGCATGCAAAAACCCCTCGCCAATATTTTCAAACATTGTTTCAACATGAAGTATTCGTAATTACGCCAACACCGAACGCAGGCTCGCGTTGCACGTCATGTTAGTCATGGCAACACGATAATTGTTTTTTAATTATTTGTACAAACCTGCAAAAAATAGATGAAATTTGAAAACTTTTAAATACAGAACTATCAATTTCTAAAATATATAAAGTAGGTATATTATTTTTGTTTCTATGGGATTTATTTTAATGTAAAATTCAAAACGAGACTCTACATAAAACGTTTTTAAATGTGAACTAAAAATAACTGCTTTTTGCCGATACTTATATCTGATAAAGATATATGGATGGGCAGCTACTTAATCCCAGGATGGGCAGCTACTCAATTTCTTCCTAAACATTATTTCCAAGGGCTTGTGGTCGGTGTTCACAGTACACTTCTTTCAATACAAAAAGTAATGAAATCGTTCGAGCCCCCAAACAACGCCAAGTGCTTCACGCTCAATGTTACTGTACCTCTGCTCAGCTTCTGTGAGAGCCTTAGACGCATAACACACGGGTTGGCTTCCTTGTGGAAGCACTGCGCCTAAGCCTTTGAGAGATGCGTCAGTTTGAATGGTTGTTTCTGCATCAGGGTCGAAATTTCGGAATACGCCCAGCGAGGATACTTCCTTGTTCACTTCATCAAATGCGCGGGTATGCTCTGGCCCCCACGAATACGCAACATCTTTCTTAGTTAGATCGCGAAGTGGAGATGATAGGGTAGCCAGACGTCCGGAGTACCTTGTTAGATAGCTTACTAAACCGAGAAAGCTCTGTAGACTTTTTGCGTCTTCCGGCTGCTTCATACCAAGGATTGCTGATACTTTCTTATTATCAGGCTTCATATCCTGTGGTATCCAATATTGTGCAAAGAAACTCACTTCCCTACACTTGAACTGCAACTTCTCCCTATTAAACACCACACCCTTTACATGTGCTCTTTCCATAAGCTTGGCTAGGTTTGCGTCGTGCTCTTCCTCTGAAGATCCATATAAAAAAAAGGGTCGTCTGCTATACCAGTGATGCCATCGAGGCCTTCAAATGTTGTGTCCGGCGAGCTGCTTCTGGAATATATCTTGAGAAACAACAAGACCAAAGGGTAATCGGTTGAAACGATAACGGCCAAAAGGAGTTCTGAAGGTTGTGAGGTACAAGCTTTCTGTATCCAGAGTTACGTGCCAGTACCCCTTCCTTGCATCTACCACAGTGAAGAATTTAGCATCTTTTAGCTCAGTGACCACCTCATCAATTGTCCTCGTGCGACAGTGCTCTCTTTTAACCCACTTATTCAAATCACGGGGATCCAGGCAAAGTCTTACCTTTACTATCTCTCCTTTGTTGTTGGTTGTCTCGCTCAGTACAACACTATTAACCCAATCTGTCGGTTTCTCAACTGGTGTTATAACACCAAGTTTTAACATATTGTCAATTTCCTGCTTGAAGTGGTCCCTAAGGTGCACTGGAACTTGTCACGGTGGGTGGATAACTGGTTCTGCATCTGGTTCTAAGGTGATATGGTATGGCTTCATATCCTTGAATGTACCTAGTCCCTCGAATCTATCCAGGTACTCTTTCAACAGAGTCTCTTTAGTAAGATGCGTATCCCTCTTAACAACATTTTTTGAATTCGATAGGGTTGGTGCGCCCGCGTGCACATGCATTATTTTACAAGGAAACTGTACCAATCCCAGGTCACGCGATGTTTGACAATCTAGTATGGCAGGTCCTTCCACATCCCTAACATTAAATACTATTGGTTTAACTTCATCCATATGATGTATATATAACTGACAGGTGCCAATGTTCCTAATCTCATGACCTCCATAAGCGGTGATTTTTATATTAGGTGGCTCAAGCCGCCTTCGTTTGGGATTAGGAACAATTGTTTCATAGCCATGTTTAGATAGAACATTAAGTTCTGCACCCGTGTCAATTTTACATACTACTGGGGTGGTATACTTGTGGTAAGGCTCTGCAGTCAGATGGGTTTCAATCAGTACTTTCTTTCTCTGCTCTGTACTCAGGCTATTAATTTGGTTTGGGTTAGCACCAATGTTCGGACACTGTTCTGGTAGTAAAGTACCAAGAAATATTTTTTGATCAATATCTGGTTCATTTGAATTGCTGTCATCACGCTCAAGTGAGTTACAGTTTGTTTTGATTGCCTTGAAACACATATTTTGGTAATGACCAATTTTCTTGCGTCCAAAACATTGTGCCTTTATAGCAGGACATTTCTGATCTTTATTGTGTGCTGTATTCCCACATCTAGTGCATACTGGCTTATCCCATTTCATTCTATATCCCTTTTGCCCCTTTTGTCTATCATACAATGGTTTGGTCTTACCTCGATTCATGTTTCCTCTCCTGTTTTTCTGCAATGAGTCTATCTGTGTAGGGTTTGAAACATCTCTGGTCATCATCTTGCGCTGTTGTCTGGTAGCTCCCTCGGTGCGGGCGATTTCTCTTGCTTTCATACGAGTTAGTTCATTCCCTTCAGCAATACATTTCTTACGGACTGTATCTGAATCAGCTCCAAATACCAAAGCATCTCGCATCAATTCATCATGTATTTCATCCGGATAACCACTGTTCTGAATAAGGAGGTTTGCTTCGGTTAAAAACTCGTCGAGAGGTCGGTTATTCTGCTTCAAGTTTCTGAGATAGAAACGATTTGGAAGATGGTTGGACTGAGGTTTTACGTGCTGTTCAAATCTTTTCCAATACTCGTCTAATTTGTCTTGATCGGCTTCACTCAAATTCCATGTATTATATAGGTCAAGACCATAATCTCCTACCCATAGGAGAACATATCGGCATTTCTGCTTAACAGTTCTATCTTTCAAAGGGCCATCAAACAGTAATTCACACTTCTGCCGATATCGCTTGAGCCGTTGCGCCAGATCTGGTACGGGTGTCCAATCGATTCTTGGCGGTTCAAAGCCAGCTAGATCATTCATTTCGTTAGCAAGTAACCAAGTACTTATTGCGTTGGGTTTCTAGACCTTCTAGTCATCAATCCCAATCCTGACACCATGTAAACTTGCACGTTTTATTTGAAACTAGCTTTATTGAAAATATGTTACAATATGGCGGCTTTGGTGAGTACGCGTGTTTATATAACTGTAGGAGACTGGGTCTAGTATAACGTACAGGAAGTTAATATAACCGGAAGTGTGAAAAAAGTCAGATAATTTTTTATTCGTATACAATTGAGAGTTGCAATTCAGACATCATACTGCTCATTTGATCTTATACCGTCATAATGATGTCACATGGCTTGATGCCCGAGAGGAATGTTGGTCTTAGTAGTCATCGCCCGAGAAAATTAAACAATTCAAAATGGTCACTATCAAAATTTTCTGGACCGTGATAACTACTAAGACCAGCATTCCTCGCAGGCATCAAGCCTTGAGACGTCATTATGCATAAGGTCTATTGATTTGCAGTAAAGCCGCGCATAAAAGAGCCACTAGCTTGAAATTTGGGCAATTAAGCACCCAAAATACAAGTTTTAGTAATCAATATTAATATTATTAATAATATAGCAATATTAATAATCATTATATATTGTAATACTGTATATATAAATATTTTTATTGGCAATTTTCTAATTGACATACAACCTATATATTTGTAAAATTTGATATACAGGGTGTCTCAAAAAAAACGCTATGGAAATTCAACAGCTGTCGTGCATCATAAACGTGGCTAAACATTTAAATTTTTACATACGACAAAAGAACAGTTATTTAGCTTTCCAATGATACTCGATAACGATAAGAAATGGCTACATACTCGTCAGTGCCGTAGCCAGAACGATAATTGGGGGGCGGGGCACATATTCATATATTCGTGTTCTGCCTTATTAATTTCTTTTGAAATCAATTGTTTTTATGGTATGTGAACTCGATTATATGAATACCTGCCCCCCCCCCCCCAATTATCGTTCTGGCTACGGCACTGATACTCGTCAAATAAAAAGTGCCGTTTGGAATCACATTCTTCCACCGTTGGGAATTGCATGGAGAACGAAACATAGACAATTCCCAAGAAGGAATCAAAATTGAATGTTAAATTGTCTAAAATAAGCTCAACTCGTCAATCTTCTATAAGAACGTGGTTCAATTAACCCTTGAACAAAACGTAATCGTAATCAAAACGTTTTACGAAACAAATAGTTTGCAGCAGGCTCGCGTTGCTTTTCGATTGACCGCTAACTTTGCATAATTGATGTATTTTCAATTCCCAACTGTGGAACAATGTGATTTCGACCGGAAATTTTTATTTGACGAGTATGTGCCATTTCGCATCGTTACGATTTAAAAAAGGTATCATAGAAAAGCTAAATAACAGCTCTTTCGTCCTGTGTAAAAATTGAATTGTTTAGGTAAGTTTATGATACACGGCAGCCCTGTGCCGTAGCCAGAACGATAATTTGGGGGGAGGGGCTCATATTCATATATTCGTGTTCACATACCATAAAAACAATTGATTTCAAAAGAAATTAATAAAGCAGAACACGAATATATGAATATGCGCCCCCCCCCCCTCCCAATTATCGTTCTGGCTGCGGCACTGCGACAGCCTGTTGAGTTTCCATAGCGCCCTGTACAATACCTATATATATCTTATATACACTAGATAGTGCATCTAATTATTCTGCAATTCAAAAATTGAAGCCGTTATTGCAGGCTCAGGGTATTCCCATAAAATGAAAAGATTGGTATGTTTTCTATTTCTTAAACAGGGAACTTAAACATTAAGTTAAACTTATTCCAAATACATATTTAAACTATTCAAATTATGAAAGTTATTGTTGTTTTTTAAGCGTTTATTAGCGAGTGGGAAACACCGACATGACCGCCATCTATTCAAACTGGGGTAACTGCTGGAATCTTCTTGGATAAGATACTATGACGAGCCGCACGGGTTTAAACAGGATTAACTTTTAGGTGTTGCTTAACGCAGCATTAATAGGAAAAGTGTGAAAGGTGTTGACATTTGTTTCCAATTAATAGCCTGGATTATTTTCCCTTGCATGTAATTTAATGCCAAGTAATGAGATGTAGTTTAATCATTGAAAAATATTAACTAATCTAGTTTATGAAGCGACTTGTCAAGTTGTCATCACCAATTACTGCATATTAGAACTTCAGAATATAAGTTTACAAAATTTTGGGCGCCAAATTCAATTGCGCCAAATCATCTGAAGCGAACAGCATGTCAAGCAATCATGGCGTACAAACGCGTTTACTCAGACAAGCTTCATACTCTAAAAATCTGGTATGCCTACTGGTATGCCTTTATCTGTCGTAACGAAAGACGCTCTATATAAAGGCTGTAAGGCCAATGGAACTGTGGATTCTGTTTACCGTCCACCGCCCGCATGTGCTTGCAACTACCGCAAGAACTTTTCATTAATCTTAATTATTTTCATTATTTGTCATTATTTTTAATTCTACGCATCGAAACTTTCAAATATACATCAAATCATCAAATCTTCGATATAAAAAGCCGTACATTGCTGATGTATGATGGATCAGTCGGCATTTGTTCGGTACACTCGGAAATTCGCGAGTCTGGCATGTGCAAATTCGAAAACAATGGCGTAACAAAGAAATTTTCAGCAAAGGAAAGCCCAAAAATGATAAAAGAATGCTGGACAAAAGTGTTGATGGTCGAGATCAAAAGAAAACGATTTAAGGATCATTTTTGGTCGGAAAATAGATAATAACAAAAATAATGAAAAATGAATAATGAAAAAAACCCGCATCAGATTTTTAAAATTCTAGGACGGTAAACAGAATCTACAGTTCCATTGGCCTAAGCCATGGCCATGGCCCAACGTGTTGGTTGACAAAAATATCAGCGAATTTGGTAAGACACTTTTTACTAATTTACATTTATTTTACAATAGTCATACACATATATTGCTATTTTTATGCTTATTGACTCTGTAATCCAAATCGGTTTCTGTATTCTATCCTTCTTACACATGTGCCAACCTCAACTCCATGCTGACGAGTCCATGAGACCATGAAGGACGAAACGCCGCGTACAGGGATATTGAATTTTACAAACATGACTATCTCTTTCTCTCGCTCTATATATTTTACATGCCTCCAGTACAAGCTTTTTAGTACAGCGCGATCATACTCTAGCTTTGGGTCTGATGAAATATATATTTTACACCACAGGATGGGTCATTCCATTTATTATCCGCACCCCCCCCTATGGATGAGCGGATTCCTACCGGTCAGATATTAGGACTTAGGGGATTCCTACTGGTCAGATATTGGGAATTAACAGATTCCTTTGGCCCGATTCCTACCGGTCAGATATTGCCGTCAAGGTGTAGCATACTATATTGCCAAATATTTATTATGAGAATCATAATAATTTCATTTATTATTCTCACCCCCCCCCCCCGGTCTGACATTGGGAATTAGCAGATTCCTACCGGTGAGATATTGGCAATTAGCAGATTCCTACCAGTGAGATATTGGCAATTAGCAGCATTCCTAGGGTTTAGATTGATACTGTCGATTCCAACAGGGTACTTCTCTGAAATCCGATTCCTACAGGTAACATTTTTACCAGAGCTCATCCATAGGGGGGGGGTGCGGATAATAAATGGAATGACCCGATATATTTTACCTTTACAATTTTACACATGCATGCATCTCCAGTTTTGTGTTTCATAAATCTACACCTGTAGGCTACTTATATTTCTTAGGTTCACATTTATACAAATACAAGTCGTTTTTTTATCTTTTATCCTCAGTTTCATCAAATACAACATAATTTTCACAGGCATACATTGTGCCAACAACACGTACGAGGCCATCACACTATCATATTTCACACAGCACTTTTTGATCTAAAACGTTTAGGGATTATTGAGGCATAAAATTATTACTAGGACACCAATATGGTTCTCATTATATCTAAACTTAAAAAACAGATTATGAAGATGTTCCATCTTTTCTTAAGCAGTGAAAGCTATAAATAGGAGTCTGTATTTTTCTCTGCATGCAGTACATATCCCACTATAAATCACGGCGCAACGCAAAATATAGCCTTTGCCTCAGCAGGAATACCATCAGGTCCTTTTAGTGGAAACTCCTGTTCCAGAAAGATGTGCCATCTTTTGCTGGCAGGTTATGAAGATGCTCCATCTTTTCTTAACCAGTGGAAGCTGAATAGGAGTCTGTGTTATTCCTTGTATACGGTACATATTATATACTATAAAACATGGCGCAACGCAAAATATATAGCCTTTGCCTCTGCCGGAATAATTAAGAGTCCTTTTAGTGGAAACTCCTGTGCCAGAAAGATGTGCCATCTTTTGCTGGCAGGTTATGAAGATGCTCCATCTTTTCTTAACCAGTGGAAGCTAAATAGGAGTCTGTGTTATTCCTTGTATACGGTACATATTATATACTATAAAACACGGCGCAACGCAAAATATATAGCCTTTGGCTTTGCCTCTGCCGGAATAATTAAGAGTCCTTTTAGTGGAAACTCCTGTGCCAGAAAGATGTGCCATCTTTTGCTGGCAGGTTATGAAGATGCTCCATCTTTTCTTAACCAGTGGAAGCTAAATAGGAGTCTGTGTTATTCCTTGTATACAGTACAGTACATAGTATACTATAAAACACGGCGCAACGCAAAATATAGCCTAGTTGGCTTTGCCTTTGCCGGAATAATTAAGAGTCCTTTTAGTGGAAACTCCTGTGCCAGAAAGATGTGCCATCTTTTGCTGGCAGGTTATGAAGATGCTCCATCTTTTCTTAACCAGTCGAAGCTAAATAGGAGTCTGTGTTATTCCTTGTATACACTAAATATTAGTATGTTGCACTATAAATCACGGCGCGCGCAACACAAAATACTGAGCCTTTGCTCCTTTTAAGAGTCCTTCTAGTGTGAAGATGCTTCATTTTTCTTAACCAGTGGA